TTTTTTTTTTTTTAAAGGAGAAAATGTCATTTTATACTCAACAATATTTAAAATAATAATAATAATAATAATGATTATTTATTTAATTTTTTTTTTTTAAAAAAAGTAACAGTAAAAAGATGTTAACAGGGCCTAAGCCATTTTCTTGTATAAATATGTAAACACAGAGCTTCCCGTTTGTTTCCATGGCGTATTACCAGTAGCAGTCAACAACCACTTCATCTTCTTCTTCTTCTTAAGCTTCATTTTTCTTCATTCTCCTTTCCTTTCAATCTCACCGGAAAATGGAGCAAAACTGGCGAGTCCGTTTAGGAATTCCAAGGTTCCGTTCCCGGAGATTGGAAAAGGAAACCCCGGGCAAACACACCTGTTCCAACGCCGGGACTTTCGACGTTAATAACTTCTCCGACGTCTTCGGCGGTCCGCCTAGGACCATCATCTTCAGACAATTCTCCGACATGTTTGAGGGTAAAGACTCCACTTCCTTCTACGAAGAAATATTCCGATCCACTGAGTTTGTTTCTCAGCCGCAGAAACGCGGACGGAGCTTGCCGGCCTTTAGAATCCCCGTTAAGGAGGATAGGTTTTACCGAGATGTTTTTGGACCGGATGACGACCGGCGGTCGAGAGATAGGTCGGAGCCGTGCTCCAAGGAATTCACCAGATCGAACTCGTCTTCCGACCTCAGCCCTCTCCAGCCGATCATCGGTGAGGATGTGGCATTCCCTTCCTCGTCTTACAATCACAGGTTGGTAGTGTTCTGCAAAAAGTGAGGGGCCGGACCCCTATTTTGGAATATTCAATTGGACATGTATGCCCCTAAGGCTTAGGTCATTTTTCATCTCTTGTTTGATATTGTTTGGCTGTTTCTTGTGAGTAATTTAGAAAACTGATGATCAATCTAGGTTTTGATTCATAGCAGTAAGTTTATGAAACTAACAACCAATTGTGTTTCGTTGATGATTTTGCTTAGACTTTAATCATAAAGCTCATGTTTGATTGCAATATATCTGTAAATTGATACTGTTTTGAAGCTTGATTTGACCAGCATTGTTTTGTACTTTGTTTAATGTGATTCTTTGTTCCCATAATTTAGTTTGACTGAAAGAATTCAATATCTACCTCCTGATTGAAATAGGCCAAGCAATGTTCCAAATCAATGGAACTCATACAATACCATGTTCAAGGAACAAGAAATGCCACAGTTTCCGCCTGATCTCTCCGCCCATATCGATAACCCATATGTGGAAGATGAATATGATGATTGTTGTAGAAGCTCATACCATGGATTTGAAGAGTATGTGTCGTCCCAAGAAACCGTTATTATGGCACCAAATTCATTCAGAAGTATCAAAATCTGTGTGAATGATTTGGAACTAAACTCCCCATCATCTGCTGATTCCTCACTCTGTGAAGATCCAGTTTATTATGGTGGTATTCATGGTAACGTTTTACCAGAAGACGACGACGACGACGACGAAGAAGATGCTATGAGCTCTTATGTCATTGAGATAAATTCCATCAATAGAGAAGAATATAGAGAAGAGGTTTCTATAGATGAAGCAATTGCTTGGGCTAAATCAACGTATCAAAGTCCTGCATCTGAGACAGATTTGAGTGTTAGACAACAAGAAAGTGAGCAATCTGGGGAAGAAGAAGGTATAGCTTCAGTAACAACGCCTGTATTTTTACTCACAGCCTGTTGAATCTTAATATGTTCAAAAGTGAAAATCCTAACAGTATTCTCCTTTTGTATTCTGCAGGAAGACCTGTTCTGTTTGAATTTGCAGATCAGCAGTTGGATCGAGACGGATCATTGCAGACTGAAGAGGTAATTCATCTGAATTTCTACACCAACATATTGCAATTCGTCTAAATTTTAGTAAAAAATGCATTCTGTATCATGCTTCGGAGAATATATGCATCCAGTTGGTTAAACCTCTTTCTCATAATGATTTAAAGCAATTGAGTAACAAAGCTATATTGCTTTGCTAACCTGTTGATCTACTTTCTTCCTCAGACACAGCGGAGAGATGTAAAAGTTCAAGAAGGAAAGCCACTGGTCGATATCAATGTAAGTAATTAGCACAGAGCTTCATAGTTTTAAACATAGCATCATTTCATTTTGCACTTGAATATTTTCTTGATCGACTGGTTCCTACTGGTAATTCCAAATTTAGGGAAAGAAAAAAGCATCCAAGCTAGTTAATTAACGCAAGATCATACAAAATTGTTGTCTAATCATCATCGATGTACAAAACCTGAAAAGGGCTAGTTTATTTTCAGGAGTGAACATATTGTTCATATTCGTTCTGGCTAAGTAATGAGTTTCTGATCTCTGTTTATTCTCGTAATGTCAAATAACAGAGAGAATTGGAAGAATTGGATGAAAAAATAAAGTTATGGTCAGGAGGGAAGGAGACCAACATCCGCTTGCTACTTTCTACGCTTCATTATGTAAGTTCTTCGTTGTCAAATAACATCATGGACATCTCCCCCTTCATGCTAACCCTTGAACTAACGACATGCAACCATTTTGTGTTGGATCAATACAGATATTGTGGTCAAGTAGTGGATGGCCTCCGATATCTTTGACAAACCTGATTGGAAGCTCACAAGTGAAGAAGGCTTATCAAAAAGCAAGGTTATGTCTCCACCCAGACAAACTGCAGCAAAGAGGAGCGACAATGCTGCAAAAATATGTTGCAGATAAGGCTTTTGCCATCCTTCAGGTAACTCCTTGCTCATGCAATTTAACTACTGAACATCCAATAATGCATCTGGATTAAAAAAGAAGAAAAGTAGAATGCTATTTGCAGGATTTTGATTTTATTAGTTACTGTTTTGTAGGATGCGTGGTCTGTATATATATCCCAAGATGTCTTCCTAAACTAGAGCCTAATTTGGAATCTTTTGGGAACTCATTTTGAGCGTGAAGGTCAAGAAAGTAGCAAGCAAGTCTGGAACAACCCATTTTTGCATTAAGAATCTGAGAGCCACCCTGATTACGTATGAAGAAAGTTGTGCATAAAACCGAAATCGGGTTCACTACGGCCTGTATGTATGTAAGATATATCTACTTATACTTATGTAGTGTATGTGTAGATTCATATTTCATTGAGCAGCAACGTTCATATTGCAGAACACTTGTGCTTTGCATATGTACATACACATTTGGACAGATTTCAATACATATTAATCAAGTAGAATGTTCAATCAGTATGATTCTGTTTTTTGCTCTTAAGAGTTAGTGATTTTTAGACAGATCCATGCAGAATATTTGGCCATTGAGGAGCCGTGCTGAGTTTCAACTTCTAGTGCTTAACCTGACTTGAGCTAGGTATGCATAACAATAGATGTGAAAGTTGATAGTCATCAAGTTGAAAAATGTTGATCAAAATTTGGAAAACTCTGGTTTATACAGTGAATTCATTGCTGGAAAGATGAGAACATGAAAGATTGATGTGATAAGTGATGATTATCATCAAATTTTGGAGGATTATGAGTATGAAACCCAGACCCAAAAAACCTATATCATGATGAAGAACTAGGGATTCAAGCCCCTCTGTTTCTAAGCCCCTTCTCTTAACAACTCTCTAAACTCATCATCTGTGGATTTGAGCATAAGTGACAAAGACACATCCTTCCCACTCTGCTCAGTCTCCACATACCTAGGCTTTATCCTCTTCTCCAAGCTAAACGAAAAATACTGAGGAAAACCCTCAAGCTCCTCCAATTTTCTATGCATCTCACCAGAAAAGTACTCAAACTTCGGCTTGAAGTTATTTTCAATGCTGAAAGTAAGCAGTGCTGGACATCTCAAAACCATCCCCACAATGGCACTCTTAGAAAACCCCAAACTCCCCAAATATTTCAGCTTAGGAATCAAGGTCTTCTCCACACTAGAAACCAGCAACACAGGATCATGGTAAGCCAAGGCCTCCAAATCCTTCAGCCCAAGTCTTTGAAGGTAAAACAGAGTAGGTTTCAGCTGATCTTTGGCACTGGAAGCAAGCAACCTAGGGCATTTGTTGATAGCCCTTCTGAAATTCTGATCTGGGACTTTAAGATCTTCAGAAAGGAAGGTGAAAACTGGGATTAGATCAGTTTTGACATCAGAAGTGAGGACTTTAGGACACATTCCAAAGATCTTGGCGAAGTCCTTTTGGTGAATGCCTTTGGATTGGAGGAAGGAGATGACAGAATGAATGGATTGAAGAGTTGCAGAGTGGAGAGAGGGATTGAGAGAGAGGGCCTTGCCGGCGTCGACGCCCATGACTTCAAGGCAGAGGATTTTTTCTTTGATTTGGGAAGAGAGAGTGGAGTGAAGAAGAGGGTGCTTGTGGAAGAGGGTTGTGGGTTTGGCTGATAAGAAAGGGTTTGGTTGGTGTGAGTTTGAGGGCGAAGAAGAAGAAGAAGGCTTCTGAGAAGAAGAGAAACAGAGAGAAGAGTGGAAAGGAGTTGCAGGCATGGTGGAGTGGAGGGTGGAGGGATGGGGTGTTGTGAAGAACATGGATTTTATGGATATTTAGGGGAAGTTTGGAGGAAGATGATTGGTCAATAATGGATTTCCAAGATTGTTTGTTTGGGTTAGAAAAATCGGCTCAAACTTTCTCTGTGGATTTGTCATAAGATACATTTGGATGAAAGTTTTTTTTTTTTTTTTTTTTTCTCGCTAAATTAATAAAAATATCTCAAATTTCTTACTATTAGCGTTAATGCTTTGTTCCAAAAATATTAAACTTTAAAATGTTTCATTTACTCTTCCCGTTAGTAATATGTTTAAAAAACACATGTATCGAAAGTAGCATTAAACACAACACGTTTATTAAAAAAAAAGTATTTACCATAAATGAAAACGATCTATCTATATCTCATATATTATCTCCAAACTTTTTATTTAAAAAAAAATTAAGGGTGTTAATGCTTTTGAAGCTTTTAACATCGTCAAAATATGAATGAAAATGTTACTAACAACCATCAACCTAGATAAAATAAATAAATAAACAAAATCTTTTTTTTTCTTTTTTAATTTAAAGGGTATTAATGAAATTTTGTAAAGTGAAGAAACCTAAACCTCACTCTCAGAGCATTTTAAAAGTCTTGAAGCCAAGTCCAAAAAGGCTTCAAGAAAGTTCGAAAGGAAAAGTCCAAAAAAGTCAATATTTGCTAACGATAAACTTAACGGCTTTAAGAAAGCTCGAAAGGAAAAGTCCAAAAAAGTCAATATTTGCTAACGATAAACTTAAGCCCGTAGTATTTTTTAAACTTTTTTAAAAATTTAAAAGTATTTTTTAAACTTTTTTAAAAATTTAAAAGCATTTTTTAAACTTTTTTAAAAAATTAAAAGCATTTTTAAGACGAAGAAAACGATTATTTTCATCTAAATTTAACAAGTTTTTTTTTTTTTTAATTTCAGAATATTTCAAAAATAATTAATACTTTCACGAATATTTTTGAGACAAAAACATCGGTAAAAAATATTTTTATTAATTTAACTTTTTTTTAGAGAGTTTATTACTAAAATAATAAAGTTTTTACTTCAAAGGAAAAAAATCATACTTCCATTTGATCGAGTGAAGGTATTTTGATGGTCTGAGTCCAATTCGATGATCTTAACAACACAAAGGGAGAAAGCATTTTAACAAGAAAAATTTGTAGTCATCAACAACAAAGTGCTGATGAAAAGCCATCCATGGAACAATTCAATCTAACATATCTTCATACGCTACAACATTTCAAGAGTCTTTAATATTACAATATTCAAAAAAAACGAACCCATAATCGACTCTGGATAACGTCCTCGACAAAGATAGTAAAACGAGGCTATAATTACAACAGTTGACACAAACAGAGAGATGATACTGGTACTACTAAAACTGCAAAACTCATAATTGAGCAGCAACAGAGATGAACAGTTCATAAATACAATGAGTAAGGTTCTCTAGTATTCTCCAAATGGCACACAACCAAAACTATCTTTTGAGTAGCAGATAGATACTATATAGTAGTAATTGCACCAAATAGATGCTCAAATACTATTACTTTGAGTAGGTTTTACTTAGCACTGCAAAAAGAAATGATGGGGAGAGCTAAGTCAGAATCACGCCCTCATTGCCTGGCTTCCTTTCTCGACGACGTATTTTTTGAAATTTGAGGCTGATCCATCACCAGAAAACTAGCAGAGTGCTGAGAAGTAGAAATGTATAATCAGCAGCTATTTCATTAAGTTAAGAGATGAGAAATTTGGGTTTGTGAGTACTTTTAATTGGAAGCCAAGTCTCAAGATTTCCCCTGGCTTCTGCTTGCTGAGTGCTGTCGCAGCAGTTTTTTACCATGATGATCATCCTGCAAGAGCATCTCAATCTGTTGATCCTTCAATTCCTCAAAACAATAACAATAAAACAAGAAAAAGAGAGGCGTCTTTCCGAAGACTATCTATTTATAAAAAGACAGGCTGATTCAAGCGCATACGCCATTGATATCAAACTCAGCAAAGACTGAGGATGGGACTCTCTTAGACGAAGGAAGTGGCCAAGAATCATCACCCAAAACCGAAGAAAGAAAGACAAACAAAAGAAAAGAAAGGGGAGAACTGGTAAGGGGTAGAGGATGCTGCATTCAGTGTTGCCTATCCTGTTGAGGATGGTTGGGAGGAAGTCTCACATGGGCTAATTTAGGAAATAATCAATGGATTTATAAGTAAGGAATACATCTCCATTGGTATGAGGCCTTTTGGGAAGCCCAAAACGAAGCTAGAGCTTATGTTCAAAGTGGACAATATCATTGTCAGGTTATAGAGCCTTCTCTTATTTATAGCTGGTCAACGGTTATATCCGATAAAGCTATATATGGTAAATAGCTATATATAGTAAATGGGAGTCATGCCCTAAACTTAGCCATGACAATTGAATCCTCAAATGTCCAACAAGAATTGTGAGCCTCGAAGGTGTAGTCAAAAAGTGACTATAGTGTCAAACAAAGGGTGTACTTTGTTCGAGGGCTCCTACGAAGGAATCGAGCCTCGATTAAAGGAAAGCTGTTCGAGGGCTCCATAAGCCTCAAGGGAGGCTCTATGTTGTACTTTGTTCAAGGGGAGGATCATTGGGAGGGAATTCCACATTGGCTAATTTATGAAATGATCATGGATTTATAAGTAAGGAATACATCTCCATTGATATGAGGCATTTTGGGGAAGTCCAATGCAAAACTATGAGAGTTTATACTCAAAATGGGCAATATCGTACCATTGTGGAGAATCGTTATTCCTAACATATCCCACCTCAAATACTAATTCCGTGAATCGCAATATTTTTAAAGATATAGTAACAATTTCATAGACAACCCCAATTAAAAAAAACACTCCCACTTGACCAACAGTGAATTAAAAACCGCAGCTGTTAAAAAATGTGTATACCAAGATCGAGCTTGTATTCCTGTCGTTGAAGATTCTAGTGTTCCTTTAAGCCACACGCTCAATGGCGGGAAAATATACATTAAGTGAATTGAAACCATAGGACGTTTGTTGGTCGTTAAAAAGGTTGTCCCACCATTCATGTCCACGGGAAGGGCTGTATACCACTTGTGTCCAAGGTTACGATGAAACTTCTGTGTGATTCTATAATACAACATTTTTCAATGTAATTCATTGCTTTTTCATTCTTTAATGCCATTCGAGATCGTTTTTTTTTTTTTTTTTTTTTTTTTTTTTTTTTTTTTTTTTTTTTTTTTTTTTTTTTTTTTTTTTTTTTTTTTTTTTTTTTTTTGTGCCTCCTTTCCAATCTATACTCTTCCCTCCATTTCTAAGGCAAGTGGTTCTTTCAAAAACTTTGTGTGAGATCCCACATCGGTTGGAGAAGGGAACGAAGCATTCCTTGTAAAGGTGTGAAAACCTCTCTCTAACAAACGCGTTTTAAAACCATGAGACTGACGACAATATGTAATGGATCAAAGTGAACAATATCTGTTAGCAGTGGACTTGGGCTATTACAAATGGTATCAGAGACAGACACGATGCGAAGTGCCAGCGAGGACGCTAGCCCCCGGGGGTTGGATTGTAAGATCCTACATTGGTTAGAGGGGAACGAAGCATTCCTTGTAAGGGTGTGGAACTCTCCCTAACAGACGCGTTTTAAAACCGTGAGGTTGATGGCAATACGTAACGGGCCAAAGCAAACAATATTTGTTAGTGGTGGGTTTGGGCTATTACACTTAGGGGGCCCAAAAATGTGATATTCTTAATTATATATGTCACATTTTAAGGACAGTTCAACTATAACTTCTTTTCCGATATTGCATCAGCACACTGACTGGTTCATTGCCTGTTATATTCTTACATTTAGGCCACTTGTACATAGTTTTGGTATCAATTGAGTTCGTCGAGGCAAAAAGTTCCTCTATCATCATCCCTTTGTTGGTTGAGACCGGGTTTTACAGTTCAGGTTGTTCTGTGAACTCTTCGGTTCAAAACATAAGTTTTCAAGATGTTAGCGATTAAAGCGCTATGCACTCTAATGCTTTCTCCCTTTCGTGGAGGAAAGAAAGAGGGTTCAACATTGTTCTTAAGTTTGTTATCACGAGTCCATTGGATTTTTGGATTCATTTCTTTTTGTACAGCCTTTTGACTACTTTTGTTTGGCTTGTTTTGTAGTCTTTCAGTGACTCCATGAAAGCTGTGATTCTTTAGAAAGAAAAAAAATGACATATATACTCTTAGTGTTCCCAAGGAAAACCAGCTCTACCACCCATATAAGCTATGGCAAAAAGTTATCCAGCACAACAGCACTTACATGGCAGACAAGCAAAAAGGATGATATGCTCCAATAGAATCCAGAATTCATGTATTGATTCAATGAAGAAAGAGAAACAAGATCTGCCTTCATTTTCCATTAGCTAATATGAATTGTAGAAAGTTAAAAGAAACTGACCTTGTAAAGAGATGCTGCTGACTCAGATTGCAACGTCTGAACTCCCGTACGCCCAAGGGATTGCAGAGCATCGAGTGCATCTAATGTCAGCTGCCAGCCATTGAGAGCGACTAAATCTGCATTGGCGTTGGAGCCACCACTTGAACTGCCAGCAGCAGCAACGTTTCCATTTACCCAAGGGCAAAATTGATTGTGATGGACTATTGGGTCGAACTCGATTTCATAATTGCTTTCCCCTTTTTGAGGCGCTGAAAAAGACGAGTCCCAAATCACTAACAGAAGAAAATTGGAATAATATGTTTAAGTAGGTAAAATTGCTACGCCAGATATGCAGAATTCTTAAAATATACCCGCATTTGGATCCTTGATCTTATTTTGTCCATGAGTAGGTCGTGCAGCAGCATTGTGACTGCTATTCATGAGGACTGTCTTGCAGCTTTGGCTCGTCTTTCCACCACTTTCAACAGAATCATCTTTAGCAGAACCATCAATTTTCGATCCACTATCAGCTCTTTCTACAGGTCGAGAAAACATCTCTTGGCTATCACCATGAGGGTCTTCCCTGATGAGGTCATCAGGAACGATCTCATCCATTAGTCCAGGATCAGGGGCAGATTCACCAGTTTGTCCCTGGTTCTCTGCATCCTCTAGTCTGGGTTCGAC